TCCTCATCTTTAGTTGAAAATAAAAAGATACACAAAACTGACCTATTATTTTTACTATTGTTCCGAAATTACTCTTTAAAAAGTATTACACCAAGGGTAATTGCTTGGGTATAGAAATTTGGTAACCTTGGTCTTATTCTGATCGACAGTAAAACACTTAATAGAAACCAATTGTTCCCCTCTTCTTGCCGACTTGTTTCTTTATTATTATGAGGCTGACGTCATATGGGAACTTCTTAGGAAGAAAGATAAGAAGTTAGCAATATCATTTAACTTTACGTTCCTCTATATAGATGATGTTCTCTCACTAAATAATAAAAAATTTGGTGTCTTTATTGAACGAATATATCACATTGAACTAGAGATAAAGGATACTACAGATACAGTTAAGTCTGCCTCATATCTTGACTTACATCTAGAAATTGACAATGAGAGTCGGTTGAAAACAAAACTTTACGACAAATGAGATGATTTCAGCTTCCCAATTGTGAACTTTCCATTTCTATGTAGCAATGATGCAACATTCAAGCAGCGACTGCATACGGAGTATATATCTCCCAATTGACACGATATTCCCGGGCTTGTATTTCCTATCATGATTTCCTTGATAGAGGATTGCTGCTCACAAGAAAGCTATTAAACCAAGAGTTCCAAATCATCCCGTCGTAAATTTTACGGACGCCATCACGAGTTGGTTGACCGTTATGGAATAACCGTTTCACAGATGATATCGGCTATGTTCCTTATGTCGTAACTACAATATCCGTCCCTTTTCACGAATGTGACCTACCGAATTAGACTATTTACCGGATTTGTAATAACATAAGCAACACGACGGGTGCCACATATATAGCAGGATCTGCTTACCCTTCCGGAGCACCTGAGATCACCCCCAGTTTTTGTCGGGGTTCGTGTTGCTTAGTCTCTAGTTTTCTATGTTGTGTCATCTGTACTATTATTTGTCTGTTTGTCTTTTTATTTTTGGCCATGGCGTTGTCAGTTTGTTTTCGATCTATAAGTGTGACTGTCCCTCTGGTATCTTTCGTCCATCTTTTATCAAAAAGTTTGGTTGTGCTAGATGTATAAATTCGCCCCATCAGAATGGCAATGCAAAATTCTATGCATCGGAAAGAGAGAGCGCTCCCTGCACGTTAAAGAGTAATTTCAACATACTATTTGTTGAAAGGCCAAATTGCAATTTCCAAAATACCATTTGGGTCTTTAAGAAAGATGAAGCATGTAGGTCGATTGACCCACTTATTTAAAAGATAGCTAGTGACTGAATTCCCGATGTAACTTTCCAATAGTTTTGAGTTACTTATGAAAATATGCAATGTAATATAAAAGTGTCGTGTATTATTGTTTCGAATATTGGTAAACTACCGTTGCCTAGATTCCTCACAGGCTAAGAACAAAACATTTTCGTTACTACGAGAGGATTCAATGTAAAAAGATTTTGCAGCAAACTTGAAATACAAAATTAATCTTATAAATTAGAATAATATAAATCAGAAAAATATAATCAGATTAAAATTTGTTAATAAGTAATATATCTTTAATTAAGTAAAACATAACGATAACCAGCAGACAAGAGTTGTCGAATTTCCATTAAAATATTGTTGATCAACGGTGATCAAATTTGAGTCGAAAATAAACTGACAACGCCATGGAAAAAAAGACAGACAACTGTACATAAAACGCAACATAGAAAACTAAAAACTGAGCAACATGAACCCCGCCAAAAAACGGGGGTTAACAAAATAACATAGTACATAATAAATTAGAGGAAGAATAAAACTACAAGACATGATTAACATATGCGCATAGCATGCAGTTGTTGAGTCGACTCTCCTCAGTGACCACGACTTTTTAACAAATGGAGCAGCATACTGCATAACTGACGGACATGAGACACATAAAACCAATTTATCAATGAGCTATAATTTATGCCGGTCAGTGAATTGACCTATGGCTGATTACACGTTGTGATTGAACTGACCTATGGCTGATTACACGTATGTGTACTACATGTATGATATATAGACTGTCAGAAATAATATAATACTAGTATAGTGACAGTATGAAAGCCAGTTGAGCCAAGTGGAGATTTCTCCCATATTTCTCTATATGCAGTAGCTATTATAATATAAATGTTTAGTACAGAATATAACTCAAACGGTTGCTCCCTTATCTAATTATTAACATGTACTCTTGAAGCATCAATAAAATATGGAAACTTCTTTTAGTCATGCCCATCTTCTTTGGTTAACTTGTTTCAATTTGGTATCTTTATTGCGAAGTCAAACGAACGTAATGAAGACTAAAAACGTGGTTTAAATTACCACTAAGCCATGCCGTCACAGTATATCTAACAATAATCAATATATAAGTTCCTGTTATATGTCATGACTTTTCTGCGCATACGAACCCCTACGCCCCCTCGAAAAGTTTAAGTCTAGTTCAGCTTTTTGCATCGGGGCTTTGTTTGAAAACTGGAAAAAATATTGTTTTCTTTTCGATTGCATTAAAATAAAGCATGTGGCCCGTTAAAAAGCACTTGAACTTATCAATAAATGAAATATACTTTTATATAAATAGAAAATTACTGTTTTATGGTTATCTATTGATAGCAAACACCTGGTGCATATATAGTTTTTTAAATCGATCAATAATCTGTGTGTAACGTGTGCACACTATACAGGTGAAGTTAATAAAGGTAAATGTACTTTGGCTTCTGCGTGAATGGTAGAAACAACTAACGACGTCCGTAAATTGTTTACTAATTGCTGTTAAAACGTTTTGGTGATTTTACTGATCAAAGGAATACATGAATCACCTTTTAAATGTTAACTAGGTGAATCTGTTAGACGATTAATGTTTGCTTTTCTGTACAAAATACCAAGTGAGATTACAGATTTAACATAAATTATTGCGTCAGTAATCTAAATTTAGAGATATAAACCAGGATTTGAAAATTTGTATCTACGTTTTCTGACAAAATGTGTGAAAACCATAGGAAACAGTTATATTGCTTGTACTGTAGAACATGCAAACGTCTTGTATGTCCAGAGTGTATTGTAGTCACACATTCAATGCATACGTTTGACAATCTGGAGAACACTCTTAGAGAACATTTAGGTTTGTTATCATGTGTTGCATCGCATATACAAAATAACATCATGTTTGCCTACATAGAGCATGAAAATGCATTGGACAGAAATATAATGGAAGTGCAAAAGGAATATGAGGTTTTAATGAAACGAATTTCTAGACAGGAAGAAAAATTCAAAACTTTCATTGAAGAAGAAACAAATAAGTTGCGAACTAATTTAACGAATGAAAGAAATCGTGTGGTAGATTTGATTACAAAAGAAAGAGTTTATTATTATGAGAAAAGAAATAAACTAAAATTATTTAAAGACAGAATAGAAAATAAAATTTTAATTGAAAATGATCTGAATGATGTTATTGAAACTGTGAATGTATTTGAGTCAATTAACAGATATCACCCAAAGTACGTAGTGCATAAGGAAATGATGATAGATTATAAGGAAGGGAATATTACAAAACAAAGTATAAACAATTTAGTCGGCTTTACTTCGTCGAAGAAACCTGATGTGCGCTTCAGTCTTCTGCAGTCTCATCGTACTGATTTATCATCTATTATTACAATTGTGACTGTAAACCCAACTATAGCATGGTTTGTTGGTAACATTTCGAATACACAATCTAAGATATTACAAAAAATAGAGATTGGACAAGACATTACAAAAATAGATGAACACGATGCCGTCTTATCTGATGTAGACGTTTCTCCGTCGGGGGAATTATTTGCTGCATTTACAATGGAAGGTTGCATTAAACGATTTACATCTTCAGGCAAGTTCGAAAGGTTTTATAGTTGTTCACCGCTTATACTGAGAGGACTGCATATCACAAAGTCGGGAAATGTGCTGATAGGCGTTCGAGAAAGTGGAACAGCATTTCCTATAACAGATCACAGTTTGCGACAAGTTTTAATTGTTAATAATGAGAAGAAACTTACGAAAACCCTTGAGTTTGATCCATTTGGAAATCGTCTTTTTTCTGTTCCTCTTCAAATAACTACGAACAATAATGGCGATATATGTGTAGTAGACTCTGTTAGTATGACAGAAGGAAGAGTTATTGCAGTTCGTGAATTAGCAGAGATGATAAAATGGGAATATTTAGGCCATAAAAGTGTAAATTCTAGAAAGTTTCCTTTTAATCCGGATGGCATTGTTTGTACGAGAACTGGAAATATAATAGTTTGTGAAAAGAAAACAAACACTCTTCATATTCTGTCAGAGTTTGGTGCATTTATACATTGCCAAAATCTTGAAACTTCACTTGGAATTCGTTGGCCTTGCAGTTTGACTATAGATAGTACAGAACTGTTATGGATAGGATGCTCGACTGCTGCCATAGAACCCAGAAATGCAAAATTCCATATCTTAAAATTTAGAGGCATTTGAAATAGCATGCTTTCAACTATATACTAAGTTAAGCCCTTTTTGTAGTATCAAGATTTATATAACTGTCCAGACGTAACAGTTCAGAAACACACATGCGAACAATATATTTGTATATTGTTTAACCCTCAGTTTTTGTTTTAATATTTCATAATTTGTAACTGCTTTTGGATTTGTTAATGCAGTAAATTTGTTTTATATATTTTTTCTAAGATACAGATTGATTAAAATTTTTAATCGACTATATGTACAAAAGATAAAGAAACCAGAACATTTGAAAAAATCAATTTATGTTATATATATCAAACCAAGTTTGCAGATACCCCCCCCCCCCCCCCCCCCCCCCGACTAATAGTTGACCGAAGATGACTGGCTGTCTCCTTTTGATTTTATGCTCTATATAATTTTGGCGTTCCAAACTTTTATCATAAGTGAAAATTTTGTACCTAATGAAGATTATTTCAGAAAACGTATTGCAAAAAATTTGTTATTACAACTGAATCGATACATTTGCAATGAGACTATCAGTTCTCGAGGACAACCTCGTCCAGTAACCAATGTGATTGGAATGATTTAATACACAACGGGTACCATATGTAGAGCAGAAATGGCTTATTCTTCCAGAGCACCTGGAATGTACCCCGGATTTTGGCGAGGTTCGTGTTGTTCAGTTTTTGGTTTCCTATGTTGTGTTTTGTGTATTGTTGCTTGTCTTTTTGTCGTTTATCTTTTTTTGCTATGGCTTTGTAAGTTTGATTTCTACTTATGAGTTTGAATATCTCTTTGGTATCGTTCGCCTCTCTTTTAAATGCTATTTTCAATTTATAGATTTCCAGTGCTTTTATTATTGTGCTAAAACTAAAATTGTAATATACAAGAGTTATTCGCTTTAAATTAATCAGAAGATATTGAGTTCTAAAAAAGTACCCGTTTATATTAAATTCAAACTTATGAGTAAGTCTGCTTCTGTAAAGAAAATTCAATATAACTAAATTAAAAATTCAAAGATTTTTAGTTCGGTTCAATTAGACGTCTTACTTCAAAGTATTACAGGTAAAGCAATCTAAGTGTGACGACTGCATATAGTGCATTTAATAAATGTTATCATTGACTTAAATAGATGTAAAAGTCAGTATTTATATTTAGAGGTTAAAATACCATGAGTAAGTAAAAACAACGTTGTCAATATGATGAATTAATCCATGCAAAACGATTCAGATACAAGGTAAAAGCTGTCTGTTATTGAATTGACAGTTAAAAGAAGATAACAAAGATGCAATCCTAAACAATACATGTCTACATGATCAGCGACAAAAAAAACAGTTAAGACAAATACACAACACTACTCAGAAAACTGATTTATCAATGTACATTAATCCCAACAAAATTTGTTATTTGGGTATCCAGTCGAGTCAGAAACATCCTGCATTGTTTTCTTTGGTTGACATTTCTGTGTACCGCTTCAGGTCTATTGTCAAGAATTTAGTCTTTAAAGTTACTGTTGAAGGAGTATAATGCTAGGTTTTAAACTGAATTCATTACATTATTGCCTTATCAACAGTTTGATTTGCCATGAACGTTCTCCCATCAATCAAACAGTTTTAATACTATGATTTACACACCCAAGGGACACTGCTGTCTGCACGGACAATAACATACTTGTCTTTGAGATAAAACATGGATTTGTGCCGTTGACGATGAATATAGATTGAAACCAATGATGTTTGTATAGATACGTGAATATTTGATGAACTATATGACCAAAATGACATTAAAAGAATAAGACCAACGTTGCTATACGGAGTTGGAAACTTTGCTACTTAAATAAAATAAAATTTGTCAAATAAAAAGATCGATTTAGCCAAATGTCTTTTAAAAAGAAAGAAAAGCTCACAAGGAGAATTTTGTTTTCTGAACAAACATTTCTATAAGAAAATGATGCGTTTGAAGGATTGTTTATCCATCAATCCTGCGAAGTCATGTTAACATTAATTGTTGCCTTGACGATTAAAATCCATGTCCCATAGTATCTGTCATTTGAAAATGAAGTGCTTTATGTTTTTTGCACTGAAGTCGATTTGTTTAAATTTTCATTTGATATAAAAAGTAAAATAACAAAAATACCGAACTCCAAGGAAAACTGAAATCGGAAAGTCCCTTATAAAATGGCAAAATCAAAAGTTCAAACACATCAAACGAATGGATAATGGATAAAAAAGGATAATGTAAAACTATGTCACCTTAAATTGCATAAAGAATATGATTATTTAAAAAAAATTTCATTCTTATTTTATGTGGTCGTTATTTGTTGTAATGGTTACTATTCTTCCATAAATGTAACTAACATTTTGAAATTGGTAATAAATAATTCCCTTCCCTTGTTGTTGTGTTTACTGCCAACAACTTAGTTATTATATGCTTTCAATTTAAGTACATCTTTATAATTTGTAACTTAAATTCATAATTATAAAGCAGCTTAATTTGTATCGAACTTCGATGAACAATAGAAGCCTTGTTAAATGTAAAAAAGGGAACGATATAGGGCGGGTGAAATTAATATCAAACTTCAAGACTGCACCGACCAATTCAACACCGAATGTAACGGAAGACATGCAGTTCCTGATACTGGGGATATCTCTCTAATGGGGATGTTATTAGAGGCGCAAAGGAGTCTGTATCGACCACCTGCTATTTATAATTTGACTCATATTTATGTTAGATGTTTCAAAAAAAAAAAAAGAGTTTAGTGCTTAAGCTGCTAAGTATGCATAAACAATGGAAAACAATTCTTTGAATATTTATTAAAAGAAATATTATCAGGGTTTCCCCTATACAACCTAACCTGGTGTATGTCTGCGAAGTCATCGAAACTTTTAATGAAAATCCATTTGAGTTCAGATGTTTAAAAAAACTCTTAAGCGTTACTCTCAAAATTAGAGGAGATGAAAAAGGTTTCTGAGAATATAAGATTCTCTCTTCTGTTTAGGTTTTTCTTCAGAACAAAATATCCGACCGTCAACCAATTCCTGTCAAGTTTGGTTAAAATTGATATAAAAAAGAAGCTGAAAATGGGATTTTTATGGGTTTCCTAAGAAAATATATGTGCCACAAATTCCATTATGTGAGCCGCCCAATAATCAGTAAACAATTATTTTGCTTTTAGTTAATGGGGAATATCTTAATAATATTGTAAAGTGAGCTAAATATCCAGTTGATAATTGCATTTGATGATGTTATAAACGACTTGATTATTGTTGCATCGACAGGTCGACGCCATATGTGATCATCTGTGAAACATATATTTCATAACGATTCATCAGTTTTATGTTGGCCTCTCGAAAGTATCTCATTTTACAATTAAAAACTATTAATGTAATACCTTCCATGTAAGCAGCAACCTGCCATCAAGGCATGACTGACAAGAAACGCAGGACTTTAAAAAAATATTATTAATTTGGAGTCAATAAATGTGGTATATTTTTTAAATCTAAATCTGAATTGGGTATTTGCCATCAACAAAGACGCAAAACTTAAAATTAGTCAGTGAACTTATAGTATCTTTATAGAAGAATGTTAATAATCGGATGATGCTAGCTTTTTCGTTCTTCTTGTAAACCCGTATAAAAGATAAAGGAGTAACAAAAGGAGAACCACTGGTCAGGAATCCTCAAGTCTATTGGATCACGTCCCTAAACGTACAAAATCTATTTTCAGTTAAAATCAAACATCTTGATTTTGTCATTTTCGTAGAACTTTCTGCTTGAATCAGAGGTTTTTACAATGAATGAAGTATTTTTTCCTATATCAAGATAATGTTCCTATGTTAGCTATTCTTTTTTTCATAGTCTCTATAAGTTCAAAATGAGAAATACTTATGTTAAGAGAAGAGAAAACAAAAGTTTTTCTTCTTCTGTTGTACGAAGAGACTTATATAGTGTGTAATCGAAGAGATCTGTGGATATTTTTTATTACCCACATCTGATGCATTCCGCTTTTGATAACTGACAGAATAAATGCTAAGCACTTTGGAAGCGGTTTGTTCGAGTATTCGGCTACATAGTCAGCAATAAAACTTTGTATAAAAAGTTATATATTTTGAGCATCCAGTAGAGTGTAAAACATCCACTCATCATCTTTAGTTGAAAATAAAAAGAAACACAAAACTGATCTATTGTTTTTGCTATTGTTCCGAAATTACTCTTTAAAAGTATTACACCAAGGGTAACTGCTTGGGTATAGAAATTTGGTAACCTTGGTCTTATTCTGATCGACAGTAAAACACTTATCAAAGTGGGGCACCTGTTTGATTGTGCTAGATGTATAAATTCGTCCCATCAAAATGGCAATGCAAAATTCTATGCCTCGGAAAGAGAGAGCACTCCCTGCACGTTAAAGAGTAATTTCAACATACTATTTGTTGAAAGGCCAAATTGCAAATTCCAAAATACCATTTGGGTCTTTTAAGAAAGATGAAGAATGAAGGTCGATTGACCCACTTATTTAAAAGATAGCTAGTGACTGAATTCCCGATGTAACTTTCCAATAGTTTTGAGTTACTTATGAAAATATGCAATGTAATATAAAAGTGTCGTGTATTATTGTTTCGAATATCGGTAAATTACCGTTGCCTTGATTCCTCACAGGTTAAGAACAAAACATTTTCGTTACTACGAGAGGATTCAGTGTAAAAAGATTTTCCAGCAAACTTGAAATACAAAATTAATCTTATAAATTAGAATAATATAAATCAGAAAAATATAATCAGATTAAAATTGGTTAATAAATAATATATCTTTAATTGTGTAAAACGTAACGATAACCAGCAGACAAAAGTTGTCGAATTTCCTTTAATTATTGTTGATCAACGGTGATCAAATTTGAGTCGATATTGTTATAATCACTTTATTCAAATTAATACCTAAATGGGGTTGATGGCATATACGAAAAAGAGAGGCGAAAGATACCAAATGGTCATTCAAACTCATAAGTCGAAAATAAACTGACAACGCCATGGAAAACAAAGACAAACAACTGTACACATAACGCAACATAAAAAACTAAAGACTGAGCAACATGAACCCCGCCTTAAAACGGGGGTTAACAAAATGACACAGTACATAATACATTAGAAGAGGAATAAAACTGCAAGACATGATAAACATATGCGCATAGCATGCAGTTGTTGAGTCCACTCTCCTCAGTGACCACGACTTTTTAACAAATGAAGCAGCATACTGCATAACTGACGGACATGAGACACATAAAACCAATTTATCAAAGTTATCCATATCATATATATTTGAATAGATATTTTTCATTTTCTGTAAAGATTTCAAGTTTTCATTTTGTGCACATGACTTGTCGTGTGCTTCTGCTTCTACCAGATAACGGCCACAATATACAAACTGAGTATATGCTGGGAACAGTATATCTAACAATAATCAATATATATGTTCCTGTTATATGACTTTTCTGCGCATACGAACCCCTACGCCCCCTCGAAATGATTAAGTTTAGTTCAGCTTTTTGCATCAGGCATTGTTTGAAAACTGGAAGAAATATTTTTTTCTTTTCGAATGCTTTAAAATAAAGCATGTGGCCCGTTAAAAAGCACTTGAACTTATCAATAAATGAAATATACTTTGATATAAATAGAAATTACTGTGTTATGGTTATCTATTGATAGCAAACAATTGGTGCATACAGAGAATTGTAAATCGATCAATAAGCTTTGTGTCACGTGTGCACACTGTACAGGTGAAGTTAATAAAGGTAAATGTACTTTGACTTCTGGTTGAATGGTAGAAACAACTAACGACGTCCGTAAATTGTTTACTAACTGCTGTTAAAACGTTTTGGTGATTTTACTGATCAAAGGAATACATGAATCACCTTTTAAATGTTAACTAGGTGAATCTGTTAGACGATTAATGTGTGCTTTTCTGTACAAAATACCAAGTGAGATTACGGATTTATCATAAATTATTGCGTTATCAGTAACCTAAATTTAGAGATATAAACAAGGATTTGAACATTTGTATCTACGTTTTCTGACAAAATGTGTGAAAACCATAGGAAACAGTTATATTGCTTGTACTGTAGAACATGCAAACGTCTTGTATGTCCAGAGTGTATTGTAGTCACACATTCAATGCATACGTTTGACAATCTGGAGAACACTCTTAGAGAAAATTTAGGTTTGTTATCATGTGTTGCATCGGATATTAAAAATAACATCATGTTTGCCTACATAGAGCATGAAAATGCATTGGACAGGAATATAATGGAAGTGCAAAAGGAATATGAGGTTTTAATGAAACGAATTTCTAGACAGGGAGAAAAACTCAAAACTTTCATCGAAGAAGAAACAAATAAGTTGCGAACTAATTTAACGAATGAAAGAAACCGTGTGGTAGATTTGATTACAAAAGAAAGAGTTTATTATTATGAGAAACGAAATAAACTAAAATTATTTAAAGACAGAATAGAAAATAAAATTTTAATTGAAAATAATCTGAATGATGTTATTGAAACTGTGAATGAATTTGAGTCAATTAACAAATATCACCCAAAGTACGTAGTGCATAAGGAAATGATGATAGATTATAAGGAAGGGAATATTACAACACAAAGTATAAACAATTTAGTCGGCTTTACTTCGTCAAAGAAACCTGATGTGCGCTTCAGTCTTCTGCAGTCTCATTCTACTGATTTGTCATCTATTATTACAATTGTGACTGTAACCCCAAATATAGCATGGTTTGTTGATAACATTTCGAATACACAATCTAAGATATTACAAAAAATAGAGATTGGACAAGACATTACAAAAATAGATGAACACGATGTCGTTTTATCTGATATAGACGTTTCTCCGTCGGGGGAATTATTTGCTGCATTTACAATGGAAGGTTGCATTAAACGATTTACATCTTCAGGCAAGTTCGAAATGTTTTATAGTTGTTCACCGCTTATACTGAGAGGACTGCATATCACAAAGTCGGGAAATGTGCTGATAGGCGTTCGAGAAAGTGGAACAGCATTTCCTATAACAGATCACAGTTCGCGACAAGTTTTAATTGTTAATAATGAGAAGAAACTTACGAAAACTCTTGAGTTTGATCCATTTGGAAATCGTCTTTTTTCTGTTCCTCTTCAAATAACTACGAACAATAATGGCGATATATGTGTAGTAGACTCTGTTAGTATGACAGAAGGAAGAGTTATTGCAGTTCGTGAATTAGCAGAGATGATAAAATGGGAATATTTAGGCCATAAAAGTGTAAATTCTAGAAAGTTTCCTTTTAATCCGGATGGCATCATTTGTACGAGAACTGGAAATATAATAGTTTGTGAAAAGAAAACAAACACTCTTCATATTCTGTCAGAGTTTGGTGCATTTATACATTGCCAAAATCTTGAAACTTCACTTGGAATTCGTTGGCCTTGCAGTTTGACTATAGATAGTACAGAACTGTTATGGATAGGATGCTCGACTGCTGCCACAGAACCCAAAAATGCAAAATTTCATATCTTAAAATTTAGAGGCATTTGAAATCGCATGCTTGCAACTATATACTAAGTTAAACCCTTTTTGTATTATCAAGATTTATATAACTGTCCAGACGTTAAAGTTCAGAAACACACATGCGATCAATATATTTGTATATCGGTTATCTACAGTGTTGACAAACCAACAAAAAATATCAAGCACTTAATATTGAAAAAACTTCAACAGATTAGGTGCGTATAAAAAGATATATTGTGTCAAACAAAATAAATTGACAAGAATGAAACAAAGTTTTAAGTGCACATAGAGGAGTGAAATTCCGGCTGGAATAAATTTATTTTACAATATATATAGATGATAAATTGTTTAACCCTCAGTTTTTGTTTTAAAATACCATAATTTGTACCTGCTTTTGGATTTGTTAATGCAGTAATTTTTTTTTATATTTTTTCTAAGATACATATTGATTAAATTTTTTAATAGACTATATGTACAGACGATGAAGAAACGAGAACATTTGAAAAAAGCAATTTATATTGTATCATAAATTTCGGAGGACTTTTACGTAGCCAGTGTTCGTTACTGGCAAGATTTAAATTATGAATTTGGTTTTAAATTCCAGCCCATAGAATACATAATTGTCTTAAAAACCAAGTTTGCAGTCCCCCCCCCCCCCCGACTAATAGTTGACCGAAGATGACTAGCTGTCTACTTAGTTCCTTTTGATTTTATGCTCTATATAATTTTGGCGTTCCAAACTTTTGATCATAAGTGAAAATTTTGTACCTAATGAAGATTATTTCAGAAAACGTGTTGCACAAAATTTGTAATTACAACTAATTCGATACTTTTGCAATGAGACTATCAGTTCTCAAAGACAACCTCGTCCAGTAGCCAATGTGTCTGATTGGAATGATTAAATACACAACAGGTACCATATGTGGAGCAGAAATTGCTTATTCTTCCAAAGCACCTGGAATGTACCCCGGATTTTGGCGAGGTTCGTGTTGTTCAGTTTTTGGTTTCCTATGTTGTGTTTTGTGTATTGTTGTTTGTCTTTTTGTCGTTTATCTTTTTTTGCCATGGCATTGTAAGTTTGTTTTCTACTTATGAGTTTGAATATCTCTTTGGTATCTTTCGCCTCTCTTTTAAATGCCAGTTTCAATTTATAGATTTCCAGTGCTTATATTATTGTGCTAAGAATAAAATTGTAATATACAAGAGTTATTCGCTTTAAATTAATCAGAAGATATTGGGTTCTAAAAAATACCCGTTTATATTAAATTCAAACCTACGAGTAAGTCTGATTCTGTAAAGATAAATTCAATATAACTAAATTAAAAATTCAAAGATTTCTAGTTCAGTTCAATTAGACGTCTTACTTCAAAGTATTACGGGTAAAGCAATCTAAGTGTGACGACTGCATATAGTGCATTTCATAAATGCTATCATTGACTTACATAGATGTAAAAGTCAGTCACAGTATTTATATTTAGAAGTTAAGATACCATGGGTAAGTAAAAACAACGTTGTCAATATGATGAATTAATCCATGCAAAACAATTCAGATACAAGGTAAAAGCTGTCTGTTATTGAATTGATAGTTAAAAGAAGATACCAAAGATGCAATCATAAACAATACATGTCTACATGATCAGCGACAAAAAAACAATTAAGACAAACACACAACACTACTCAGAAAACTGATTTATCAACGTACATTAATCCCAACAAAATATGCTATTTGGGTATCCAGTCGAGTCAGAAACATCCTGCATTGTTTTCTTTGGTTGACATTTCTGTGTACCGCGTCAGGTCTATTATTGTCTAGAATTTAGTCTTTAAAGTTACTGTTGAAGGAGTATAATGTTAGGTTATAAACTGAATTCATTACATTATTGCCTTATCAACAGTTTGATTTGCCATGAACGTTCTCCCATCAATCAAACAGTTTGAATATTATGATTTACACACCAAAGCGACACTGCTGTCTGCATGGACAATAACATACTTGTCTTTGAGATAAAACATGGATTTGTGCCGTTGACGATGAATATAGATTGAAACCAATGATGTTTGAATAAATATGTGAATATTTGATGAACTATATGACCAAAAAGACTTTAAAAGAATAAGGCCAACGTTGCTATACGGAGTAGCAAACTTAGCTACTTAAAGAAAATAAAATTGCACAGATAATATTTTTATTCGCTTTGGTTTTGTGTATTTCACAAATGGTCATAAATATTTTCTAAAATATTTTCTTTCTCACACAATTTCGTACTGATTTTTTTTACCTATAAATTAAAACGATGGCTACCATATGCATATAAATTTCCATTTATATCGCTTTGTAGCACTACTTGTGTTCAGTTGTATTGCTCTAAAACTTTTCATTGTCGTCCTTGACTATACTTTAGGTCCTTTTCGGTTTCATCCGCTCTCAACATCTGTATTAGATTTTGGATACTCAAATATTGGCCTCGAGCATCACTGAAGTGATTTTAATTGTCGAAATGTACATCTGGTGCATTAAAATGGTACCGTTAATGTTATTACTACCATTGGGTCGATACCTCTGCTGGTGAACTGTTAGTCCCCGATGGAATCATCAGCCCAGTAGCCAATACTTCGGTTTTTAGTTTCTTACCCGGATTTGTTTTTGCTTAATCGAATTATGACTATTGAACAGCTGCATACTACTGTTGCCTTTTTCTGGTCCTGGCATGAACATATGGCTATTTTTTTATTAAAATTTGCTGTTATAAAATTTTGGAAATAATCTTGAATTAAGGAATATATCTCCCTCGTGCAAAGCTCTGATTCCTTTCCAGATTTGGTTACACTTTATGTCCTTTTTGGTTTGATCCGCTCTTCACTATTTGTATTAGATTTTGGATACACAAACATTTTGGCCTTAGCATCGCTGAAGGACGAAATACATTTGAATTGTTTATGTTATTAGCCATAGTTAAGTTGCTTAAAGCAAGAAGACGGTGTATATCTGAATTTTTATTTGTTTAGCAAGCAAGTATAAATGACATGACATCAAGTGTATCAAGGTAACAGCCATATTACTTCAAACAAAGAATATTCAGCATAAAAATGTTATCAGATGTTTTGTTTTATGTTGACTAAAAGAAAAATGTCTAAGTTCACCAAGCAAATAGTAAATAAATATACAAAGTACATAAAGACAAAAGTGATAAAAACAAAATAACCAGAATATAGGCAAAGGAAATTAGAACAACGTAATCCCCAAATTGGCAAAAGTTAAAGTAAAAGGTATAAAAGTAGTGACTGTTCCATAATTAGTTTTTTTTTTTAATTTACTAGTGACATGTTAACTCTATAATAGATCCACTATCATTCATTTGACTTTATAACCGGATTTGCCATGATATATGCATTTGACTTTAGAATCGCATGGCCAATTGTACCTACATACCTGCAGGTCTGATGATTACCTTCTCAATTCACTCACTTTATTTTGTTTGACGTGAGCTGTTTGTAAAATATCTACTCTTTTCATTCCCCTGATGAGTCTTATGTAGACGAAACGCGTGTCTGGCATACCAAATTATAGGCCGCAGGTATCTTTAGTGAGTTTTACATTATCATATTATATTTCACCTTGCACTGCTATACTTCCTTAATATTGAAGTTTACCAAATGATGTGTGTCCACCCGATATCTTATCAATTTATGTGCGTTTATCAATTTACATATTTATTTTATATTCATTTATTTATAATTATAAACATAATTGAATAAAATTTTTGATCAACGTATGCATTAGTACTTGTCCAAAATATCTAAAATTATAGGTCATCTTCAAAAATTCATTTATGATCCTGTTTTAATGATTACAAATATTTCATTGTATTATACATAGTAATTCTTTCTACATTTTCACAGTGAAAAATTTTATTGTATATGGTCTTACATTTAAAACGAGTGACCATTTAATATAGTGAAAAATATATTAACAAAATTAAACAAAAACACCGAACTCCAAAGTAAATTCAAAAAGGGGGAAATTCATTAAACCAGACAAAACCAAACTCTCGACTATACCAACCAACGGAAAGTCGAGAAAACGACTGTCATATTCATAATTTGGTACAGTATACCATTTTTTTTTCAATTACAATTGCTTCAACAATCTTTTAGAATTATGAATTTATGACAAAATTCTTAACCCAACTGGCAGTTAATCTAGTAGATTTTAGCTAGATATTTTGATATATTTTTCTAAGTATCATTCGTTATCATTACTTTTAAATTAGTTGCATCTTTATATTTTGCTACTATCAATATATTTTATGTTGATAATTGTTCTTACAATTTTAGTGTTATGCCGTTAGTACTCTGTCGATAGTACTCATTTAAATGCAGCTGCTTCCATTTCATTAATAGTAATTATGGTATAATGGTGTTTCTTCGGATCAGTTTACAGGTTCTTCAGTTTCACTTTTATAATGAAACGATTTCTGTTAGCACCTGCTTTGACGTCTACGTCATTTGTTGTGTTTGTGGTTATAAATATCAATAACATTTGTCAATGTCAAACATGCTCTGCTTGGTGGTTGTTTTGGATAAAACTTCTCTGTACTCCTAAAACAGCAAAAAAAACCTACTGTTTTTTTTTAATATCTTCAATGAGTATCCTATATTTGCAAACTAGTATATTTGACAAGATTTGAAATTCAATTGTATCAAATTGTACTCGGTACATTATATGAAGCTCATGCTGAGAAGTCGTATGCTCAAACTACACATAACGTCCCTTTCCTGTACTTATACAAACTACTGTTAATCATCTTTGATCCTGCATATAGAAGTTGTCATTAAAATATGCATTGCTCTACGACTTTCAGGGTTCATCTCTAATAAACATTTTTCCAACGTTTTTTTTTTTTTAACTCTGACATGCCTATGAACTGAGATATGTTTTTTCAACTTCCAAGCTTGAATAATTCATAAGCTCTTATTCATTCCAGCCAATCAAGATATTTACATATATATATTCTTGGATCGAATCTCAAACTTAAAATTATATACAAAAACTAACGATAATCTTACGTTGTTGAACGGGTTATGGATGTCTTGATGACAGGTGAATTATTTTTCGCATTCTAATAACTTATCCTCTGATATTTAAAGTACGTACATCTAAAAAGTGCAAAACACATATAATATCAGCGAATATTCAGTGCCAAATTCGTTGAGCATGGCGTTAAATAAAAAAGGATCTTTTAACTGCATTGAGTTAATAGGTGTGCTGTTAAACAATTAGTGTTTCTACTGCTTCTAAAAGTAAAAACTTCTGAAGTAAGACTTAGTGACTTACCATCATTTTTCTTTTGACAAACAATAAAGATAAGAAGTGTCAAAATTGCAATGATACTAGGCACAGTTACAGCATATACTAGAATCATATTGACAGATGGTGATGTATTGTTCTGTACTGTAGAAATGGTTACAGATTTCATTACTGGCACCTCTACAAATTATAGTAAAAAACGCATAAAATTCCAAATCTTCCATTGAAAAAACAGATGTTGTAATGTTCTTATATGAAATCGTGTAACAAAAATTTATTCATGATTGCCGTTAGCATTATAACTATTCATTAAGTTTCAGATACGTGGACATTCATACACATGAAGTCGAAGAAAGACCATGACCGAAAGCAAAAAGACAGAAAATACAAATAACAGTTCACAACAAAACCAATGATCTAGCAACACAAACATCAACGCGGAGCGTCACCGTGAGCGTCTAAATGCCGCTAAACCTAAACTATGATCGCATATGTTAGTCTGAATTCAAAAGAACACCTGCTTCGTTCAAATTCTATCTCTTATATATAGGTACGGTACCTTAGTAAATGATTAAATGTAAAAAATATTGTGTTACTCAATCGTTTATTTGTCTCTACATTTTCGTCAGCTTTACATCGTGCTTGTTTAAAATTATAACAAAATACGATATTTTATTTCAAAAAGATTGTCTCAATTTTTTTTATTTACAAGATTGGCATCAAAAAGGGAAGTACATTGCAACGAAGTTGGATGCAAATACACATTTTGGCTTGCATTATTGTAGTAAAAGTGTGATAGTAATACTAAATATTGTATTGAGCTTGTTGTATTCAGAACACAATCAGGGATTTTCATATTTCAGCAAAACCGTTGGTCACGTGTTTGTGTGTTTGTTTCGAGTGCGGAGGTCGTGGGTTCGATCCCCAGCCGTGTTAATCCAAAGACTTCAAAATTGGTATGTTGTTCTTCTCCGCTAATCACACAGCGTTTAGAAAAGCAAAGACTGACGGGCACGGGGACCGAATAATGTGTCCCGGTAGAGTGACCTTGTGAATAGACTATTTTCATATTACCGACTTTTGACTCCGGATTATATAATTTGTCGACTGGTTACCTTGGACATCATGGTACCAAGTCAGGTAAGAGCAAGCTAAAGAAGTAAAACCATGCTTTCAATCGGTACAATTTTGGGGGAAAATTACCTGCTTAACATTTTTGTTTCACTACAAAATTATCGGAAAACAGTAAACTTTCCCCTCAAATTACACCGATTATATGTTTGATTTTACTTATTTTGGTTGCTCTTACTTGACCGAGTACCATGATGTCCAAGGTAACCAGTCGACAAATTATATAATCCGGAGACAAAAGTCGGTAATATGAAAATAGTCTATTAGCACGTACAAAATCCGGTTCTGCATGTTGGTCTAATACAAAGCATTATTTGTATTCAATCACATTGACGTATTCTATTCCTGATATGCATGTACTATTTGCCACTGGGCGTTAAACATCAACGTCAGCATTATCAATGTATATCTAAATCGTTTATTGCACAAATATCGCGACAAACCATTGTTGTTACATGTACTAGATATTTGATTTAGGTCTTTAAGTCTCCAACACAATCATCATAATTATCATCATATGACAAACTTGTATACGAAATCACAAAAACCTTACCTATTTGATATATTGAACAAGAGTCGTCACATACATCACATCTTGTCCTCATCTTAAATGATAAAGATAATTATGGCTACGAATAATGAATAGAAACACATTACAATGATAAATTTGCATCGTTACCAATACAGCATTCTCTTAATCCTACTGGAACTACCTTTCTGGTAACCAGACTTTTTAAAAAATAATCGGCAAAAAAACACTTTTTCAACTTTATTTCGACACTCGATGTTTTATGCAAATATATTTATAATGGAGATACCCTGGCAATCTTTGTACACAAATCTTTGTTTATAATAATGATGGCAGAATGTTGATATAAAAAAAAGATAGTGGTATGTTTGGAGAATTGTAAATTTCACAGACTAAGCACTGCTCTGATCAAATAAAAAAATATCTTTAATAAGTCTTATATTCATGCTTTGAAATAGAGCACAAGTTAATTTTACGAATTATGATACTTGCAATATCAAAATCAGGAGATGTACATGTGGTATGATTGCCAATGAGACAACTATTCAACAGATACCAAATGACCCGAAATGATGTTTTGAGAAGATATTAATTTTCATTTGAAAATCTCCAAGCTTGATAGACAGAAATAAAATTTTGAATTATGCCTATTTCAGTTACGAAAAGAAGGAAAAGTGAAACTTTAGTGATACTACAAAACTGGTACAAGAACAAAATACCATACCTCAATAACATACTCTTCTTCTTGGCGTAGATTAACAGGTATAAGCAGGAACTGTTTGAAAAAGAATGTTTTAAAAAGAAATTATTATTTAGTAAATGTGCACCAAAATAAAAATTAATGAAAATTTCTTGTTGCTAAATTTCACTTTGATAGTTGTTGAGGAGATTTCAAAATGAGTCCTAACTTGATATCCTACAGGTCAAGTACCATTAAGATCTTTTAATACCAATTTTGGATTTTTAACCGGTTCTGCTAACCCTTCTGTGTTCAACTGAGATGACTTGTGTTGCTTAGTCATTAGTTTTCTATGTAGTGTTTTTTACCTGTTTGTTTTTTTTGTCGTTAAATTTTTTGCTAGGGTTTCTATTCGACTTTTTTGAAAGTCTCCTTTGTATCTTTTACCTCTTTTTTGACTGTCTAATGAATCGCCCACATGTATAAACAGCAGTAAACAAAACTGTGTTTAGAAATGCATAGACTTACAATATCAATATGAATAAGTATAAAAAGAGATGTGAGGTATACATCAATAAGACAGTAACTCAGCCACACAAAAACCAAAGCACATCTTAAATATGTTTTAAAGTACTAATTACAAGTTTTGCATCATACGTATATCATTAACTTTTCTATCGCACTGTTAATAAGTTCGATAGAAAATTTATTTAAATAACCGATACCTATGTCAAAACTTGTTATTTACATGAGAAAACTCACCTCCAAATTCTGATTCACCTTTTGCTGTTTAGTATATAAAATAGTCGCGCTTCTGTTAAAAACGTCAATTGTGAAATGTAAAGCCCAGTTGCACTTCATAAAAATATCACACTGCCTAAAGTCTAGTTTAATATACTGCCGTGTTTCTAGTCTAGCCTCAGCACAACTGCAGATGCAATCTGTAAAAGGGGGGAAAACCATCATGAGTTGAATTTTATATGAAATTTTCATATTTTTTTTTCAGGAATTTAGCAGAATTTCCTATGGTAATTATTTCAGTAAAGTAAAACTATAAAATGTCATATCAGAAACTTGCAGCTACCATGCATAACCTGCATCTTTCTATGTAACCATGACACATTTCTCTATTATTTTATCTTAATTAAAGCTGTTCGTTTTCTCAGTTGTATTGTTCTACATTTTGTTTAATGATGCCTTAGATAGCTAAATGTATGGTATGGATACAGGTCATTGTTGAGGGCCGCACAGATCACAGTAATTGTATACATCATTGTAACTTTGAACTATTTTGATAGACAGTTGTATAATTAATTGACAATCCTAACACATCATTTTTTTTTATAATAATTAATACATTATAATACAATAAAAATGTTTAAGAAGAACCCTTGTATCAGGAATTCTGTTAACAAACTTATGTTCACGAGCGATTTATTTTCCCGGCTTTCGCGAATAGGAAAATCACGCGAATATAAATCGATGCAAATTATCCATAGATAAACCAACAAAAAAATTAGAAAATCGCGAGAATAAAAATAAATCATCGCGAAATCGACTAAAAATGTGTACAGTAGCTCTGCATCCATTTAACTTGTGTAAATCGAACAAATGTCCAATCCAGACAATAATCACCAGGATCAAAAAGATGTCGTTTTACAAATACATACATGTTCCTGTAACAACCAATACTCACGTTTTATTTTGAGCCAATTGTTGTCAGGCTTCAAACAGTCTAAATTGGACAAGCTTGGGCAGTACAAAAAATCAGTTGAACCTGAAAAGTATTTAGAATGTAAATGTTGGTATAAATCGTGTAACATATTCAGAAATAATTTCTTTGTAATCTTATTTAAATTTTTAAAAGGTACGTGAATGTTTAACAGAAAGACTTCACTTTCATGAATAAACCAACAAAAAATAAGAAAATCGCGAAAAAAAATAAATCGCCGCGAAATCGACTAGAAATACCATTAAAAACGTTCATTTAAAAGTTTATGAGGAATCACTTTTTAGGACGCCTATTTCATTAAGCAATATATTCTTCGATATAATTCCTCTTGGCTAGACATCGGGTCGATAGGTGATATAACTGGTGCTCGCCCGGAGTGCGCGAGGCCATGTTTTTTTTTCTACGGATATGTAAAAAAAAGACATTAAGATTAGCATTTGCCGTTTCTGCATCATAAACGCTACACTAATGAATGTGAAAGAAGACCAGTGCTCTCGGATTCAGAATAGTTTGTACCTAGAGAAAAGACGTCTTCCTGTCACTTGTTATCTTGGCAGCTAGCAAGTTGAAATACTACTATGTCTGTCTATCTAGTATATTTTTACTATCTTACCTTGAATACATCGAACAGTAAAAATATGCAGGATTATATACGAAAGCATTCTCCATTGGGACTTTTTAACCGGAAAGGAAACTAATGTTGCCATTCTAACTAACTAACTGTATCATTGGTTACTGAAGTTTGCCTACAAAAATAAATGAAATAAACTGTTGACACGGATATATGTTTCGCTGGTATATTGATAATTTAAAGAAAGTGTTGAAATTAAAATGGCAATACTTTTAACATGTTTACTATGCAACATTCAAAGTCAATGAACAGTGATTGACGGTACATGACATAATAATCTCCGTGGAAATGAAAAGCCAACCATGATACAACTACATACCAAATGCCATTGACTTATCATAAGTGGTTCCCTTTACTCTGACCTAAACACAACCTTCAACATGTAAACTATGCAAAAGTTTTGTAAGTAAATGAACCTTGATGAGTGGGCTGGGCCATATAATCTCCATGGAAATGAGACATGCAACTACCATTTACAATTGCATACCAAATATCTTTGACCTTCCATTAGTGGTTCCCCATAAACTGATTTAATTACGAACTGAAATTGACGAAGCGGGAAACAGCACGTCTGGGTCGTTTTTTTTAATTTACCAAAGCGAGACAAACCTCTTCTACAGTTTTCTAGGAAAATATAAATTTAATGGAAATTCAACATGTACAGTATAACCTAGACAGTTTTTGTTCGTTCTTGTTTGTTTTGGTTCGCTTGCTTTTTTTGCTGACTTTTCTATGTGTTATTCCTCTGTTAAATGTTAAATCCTACTTAATTCAACAAAATTCTGAAAACTTAGGTGTTCGAACTCGGCCTTTATTGAAACTGTGGGTTTGTTGGGACTCCGCGAGCAGATGAGTTATGTTCTATGTATATTGACGAATTTCATGTTCCTGTAAAAAATGCTGAAATAAAATTATTGTGTAATTCAATACAAGCATGAATTAATTTAGTAAATTTCTTTCTTTATGTAACGTCTAGGTGCAAAATTAGTTATCAACTTTCAAACAGAAAATTATGAAATATTAATTTAACTAATAACGAATGTCTTTTATATATCTTACTATGCATCAGTGTGTTGACTGTCCTGTCTCGCCATGTGTTATCGTATGCATGTTTGCATTTATGTTGTCGTTTTGCACACCTGTATGTGTCTAAGATTGTGAAGGAAATATAGAACCTTGATCGTACATGTATATATGCAGCATTGTTTTATGAGCAAGAGAAAATTACTTACCTACTTGAAAGTCAGCAAAATTTTATGATTATTGATCCATTATGGATATCTATATAGCATAAAGCAAAAGATATCATCTTGAAACTAAATATAAATCGTGACAAGAGACACTAAGTAACACACTTAGAGAAGGATATATTGTATCAATTCTTGACACTAAATTACTAAGGCAAAGTACGCTACCAAAATGTTCATTGTGTGTGTGCATTGAATAAGCATTCACTTGTTTTTTAAACAATAAGCAAATGATAAGTATGTCAACAAACAGCAAACCGATTCACTCTATTGAAACAAAAGTGTATCTTGATAAGTCAATTAGTTTAGTAAAAGGTGTACAAGAAATGCATTTAAGTGGAAAGAATTTTAAAACCGCAGATCACTACTGATAATTAGTATGTAATCATTATTTCCGCTCGCTTTCTCGGTCATACCAGCAGGTGATTATAGAATCTGATTTTAAGATGTTTTGTTTTCTTTTTTCTAAAACTGTAGCGGATCATACTTTAAAATAAAATAATACAGTCAAGTATGTACAAAGTAAAAGAGAGGCTAAAGATACCAAAGGGGCATTCAAACTCATAAGTCGAAAATAAACTGACAACTCCTTGGCAAAAAAAGAAAAATACCAAAAGACAAACATAGAAACTAAAAACCGACCAACACGAACCCCACCAAAAACTTGTCAGATGCTCCGGAAGGGTAAGCAGATCCGGCTCCACATGTGACTCCTTCGTGTTACTCCTACAAAATACCTTGATAAGTTTTATCAAGTGATTAGACATCACGCAATAGCGGATTGGTTATTGACCCTTATCAAAACCCAAGACATCAACAAATTCTAGACCATTGCGTCTTGGGCGGCGCAGATTTTCAATGGAACTCTACGAGAAAGGTCACAATTTTTCTGGTTTCAAATTCGAGTGCGCACACGTTTGGATTTTCATGGACACAGTGCATGGTAAAAGACCATTTACGAAGATTTTTTATTCGAGGCTGGTCCATTCGGGAATAGTGTATGTACAACTTATTGATTTTTTTTAAGTAACAGAAGTTAACAAAACTTTTAAAGCATATTGTGAATTACTGAATGAGAAAATAGAAAGTTTTCATTTTCATTTTAATCATATGGATATTTTTAAGATTTAAACTAGGATTTGCACATATCTTTCATGTCATATTTTTAAACATCTGCAGCGAATGCATATTTACAAGTATATCTGAATCTGATCTAAATTATCTAATTTATTCAGAATTTTCTTCACTATCTCTCCGATGCATGAAATTAATAATTAATACAAAAGGTAGGTTCTGTCAGTTAGGTCGACAGGTATGAAGGCCGGGGAATTTGGACTGCCCTGGAAAATGGGTGTTTGTTGGATAGGGGCAGAACATTTGGTCTTGAAATTAACAGTCTGCGAACCCTCAAATGAATGTTTCAAAAGATTCCTTGGCGTACAATGAGCGTTGCTCTCCAGTCGTATTGAAATCCATCCCAGATCTCCTTGTTGTCGAGTCGGCGACGATGTCCACAGTTGCGCGAAGCGAGATATATATAACGATCTTATATTCCGCCATCAGCGTCGTCGGCGTTATCAACACAGGTTTAGGGTCAATCTAAACTTCACCAGTGGCATTTTATGAAATTCGAACAGAAGCTTTTTCATGATCAGAAGACAATATCCAGACGGCAAAAGTTTGAAAATATTTTTTTCTTTCATTCTACTGATAAACTGAACTGAATCTTTTTTTTTAATATAGAACAAGAACAAGAACATATGTTATTACCAATTAAGGGCCCACAAGGGGCATAAAGAGCATGTACAAGGAAAAAGAACATTGATTAGCATAGATACATAGAATTTAAATACACAATCACAATACAATTAGACTGTAATAAAGCCCTTGGTTTATAGTATATAATATAGTTACATGAAAAATAAATAGATCTAACTCATATATATATGCATGTCCCAAGTTAGGGGCCTGTAATTCAGTGGTTATCTTTATGTATAAACCCATACATCTATGGTTCATGTCTGTCAAAAACCCACTATACTTGCTTTAAAATATAAATGGAAATGATATGAATTTGGCCGTTAGTTTTCTCGTTTGAATTGTCTCAGATTTTTTATGTCGCGACCTTTTATAGCCGGTATAGGTTTTCTCATTGTAAAAGACCGTATGGTTGTAGTATGCTTACATCCACTTCGTTTGATCTTTGATGGATAGTTGTCTCATTGGCAATCCTACCACATCTCCTTGTTTTTATACTAGTTCTTTTTGAAAACTTTTTTTTGTATCAGGTAACACTTTGAATGAAGTTTAAAAAATTTCTGTCTTTTTTCTGATAAATGGACTTTTTTTTGCAGGAAACATTTAGATACAGTCTTGGGTTAAAGGTATTTGGTGAAAACTTCATAGAATTGTATTGAACTTTGCGCGACAAATCCATGGCAGTATAATCAATTCGTTGATTGTGACCACGGTCATTATCTGGTAGAAACAGACTAGGGTTACAGTTTTCAGACATCAATAGCTCTGTTAAACCTCCATGCAATGTTTATTCTTTATTGATTAACTGATAAAATGTGACAAATTATTTCTCACAATTAATGTTTTTCAATGGGGAACGTGAGGGTACCCAAACTGCACCTATTTTGACATTTTTTTCCCTCTTACGTTAATTTGTGGAACCGGCAAAAGTTTCCATTCTGTGTTCAATAAAATTAAGAATGGAAACGGGAGCATTTTTTAGATGTATCCTAAATTACAATATAGTTGGAATCCATACTGAATCATTGAAAAAGTGTTAGAACCGACATATCAACGATTAATGATTCTGAAATGAAGAGTATCTAAATGGCACCCATGCTTATTTTTGTGCACGATTTGACAATAGCCGAAGCCATGTTTGTTATACTTTTTGAATAACGGAATGTTTGTGGTATATTCTAATTTCTCATTCTTAAAAGTAGACTTTTTGTAGACGTCGCATGGAACGTTTCCGTAAATTTTACTGTTTTCGCTGGAGACTTTATCTTTATATATATAATGTGACTGTTTTGTGTATATTTTAGGTGGATCATTGGTATATATTTCCTCAGATATAATTTTCTTAGACTTTGCCAGAATGTAGATTTTTCTATGCTTTTTTTCGAAAATATAATAAAAAGTATGGGTCAGCGTGCTTTTTTTCAAGCTACAAGTCGTGCAAAATTGCCCAAATTTGCATAGATTGCTCATGGAAAAAAAACCCACTTTTTTATGAATAAAAAGAAATCTATGAGATCGAATTTTGAAATAAAATTTGAGAAGATATGTTTTAAAATATGCTTTAAAAAAATGAAAAGAAAAAATGGTGTCATCGACCTTGTTTTCTTGCAACAAGTAAAAATTGAAAATTTCTCTTTCATTCCTTTATAAAAAAATTCCCTAATTTGAGTTATTTCCCCTTAAATGGCTAAGTTGACAATTTGATTCGAACAAACACAAATATGTAGTATTTGATAAATCAGTCTTAATAATGCAATACTTCAATGATTTTGTTTTATTCCAATAATAAAACAGTATAACCCATTTATTACCAAGCTGTCTCAAAATTTGCAGATTTAAGCAAAGAACTGAACTGCTATTTTACAATCCAATATGGCGATATACAGTTAATCTTTTGTTTTCTACTAAGCTATGTTTAAACAAGGATTTACAAATCCTTGATTTAATATAAACAAATCCTTGGTTTAAAGACCGTGCATAATGACAAATGATAAAAATGCGAATTGTTTAGTCCATTAGAAAATCTATAAGATTCCCTCTGCTTTTTAGCGAAAAGGAAGCAATTTTGGGTACTCGGGGCAATTTGGGTACTGTGATGTTAGCCTAATGCTACCAAAAAAAAATCATTATTATGTGTTCCAGTTTATTAGTTCGTTATGGTTCTATACGTATAGTTTCTTATTGGTTATAAGTCGCATTTTAAGACAATTGTCTCCCTTCAATGTTGCTTCCGGTTATAAGAAAAAAATACAAAAATGAGAGCAAAATGATTTCTAAAGACAAGTAATCCTTGATTTTCTTTCAAAATGGGACAAAAAGTATCTGGCTTAACCAACAAAGTAACAAGATCTGTTTCTTCGTTATTTTCCCACTCAGACGAGACACCAGAATCATCTCTTGCTATACAAAGAGCAACTCCGTTCGTCTATAAAAGAACAAGGTTGGTCTAAATAGATTAAAGTGTGTTGTTTGAAGACCGTATATCCCCCTCTAAATGCACTCTGTCCATTTGTATCCGATGTTTACCTTCTCCCTGACGTATTCCCAATATCTCATTTTAATATGAGGCAGGCATTACCTGTGAAAGGGGACGAAGTCTATATATTTTTTTTTTTTTAATTCAAACATATTTTAAGTTCTAAATCTGTTAAAAAATAAATGGAAAAGACCGGAAGAAGGAAGTAGATTTCTGCGCAAATGCGGGAATTAAAAAAAGTTAACGATTTTGAGTTCATTAGTACAATGAAAATTTCGGGAAATTTCCTGATTTTGATTTTTTTTTTTATTGATTTTTCTACTGTAATAGGGGACTTTGTCCCCTTATAACATGCAAAATATATTTTTTTTAAACCAAATATAAATCTTCTGGACATGCTGGATATGTACATGTAGCACTAGTCAAAATAGTTATGACGTCTTGAAAGGCTATTTTACGTAGGAAGGAGTCACAGCAAAAAAATAAAATAGCCTTTCAAGACATCGTAATTATTTGGACGAATGTAGCACCTGCCCCATATCAATCATCATGTCCATATCACAAAATTATTAAATTGATTAGTTTCTTTATGATTTTTTAGAGATCATGACTACAATATTTTTGGAGATAAAATTCAGAAACCACTTTCAAAAGATCTTTGTGAGTCCTGGTACAGGACATCTCGTACCTTTGCCAACTCGTATCTTTACCAATTTGTACCCATTTTTGCAGCATTATTATTTATCATTTAATAAGATAAATCATACTCTTAATGGTTATTTTGTTATAATTGATCTTGTTCCAGACATGTATAGTTTGCATGTCTCTGATCTAGAGCCGTAAACAAAAATAAATTATTTAACAAACATGATGGCTTTGTTTCGAATGCAGCTTTAAAAATCTCTCTAATTGTGAAGTAAAGCATTTATCAGTTATTTCCTTATTGGTACCGTAAATGAGGGAATGGCCACTTCATCTTGAGCTTGAACATGTTGAAATCTGAAGAGAATTTTGGAAAATTATTTTTTTTCTGATTATTTCGTTGGGTTAAAGAAGTCTTTTTTAGTTCATCGCTGAGGTATTAACCATCTTTTTGATATCATAAAGCTACTACAAGAATTAAACAAATCCAAATGTTTTACATATTAGCTAGTTAACTGATAATTATTTAACAAAACATTCAATGCATTTTACTGAATTTAAAATCTCAATCTTTAAAGCCATATTTGTTTCTTTTCAGTGAAAATAGTGATTTTAAGAGTATACCTCTTGAGTCAATGAATAGAATTTGATATTATGCTGTATTTATTACTTTCTTACTAAGAAATTGACAAAATTGGTCTTTCTTTTCCCCCTAATTTGCAAGACAAATTATATTCACACTTTCAAGAATGGAGTAAGTATCATGATAGAGAAGCCCTAGAGCTTCAAGACTTTTTCCTTTGCATGTTTTTTCATCATCTTTAAATTTGTTAAAAAATCTAACAATTGTTTTTCTTTCAGTTCCATGTTTTTTGATGAAGAAGGTGACCTTGCTCATGAATTTTACGAGGAGGTATTTGATGCTGGCCATTCAAGAATGAAAAGACAGTATAAAAATTTAAGACCACAGGTAGTTATAGCCTTCAACTTGTTCAATGAATGTTTCTTTTTCAATAATCAGTGATAATAGTTATACTTTTGTTTTTCAGAGTGAATTTGCAAGTATGGGCCTGGCTGGTCATACACAAAATTTATTTGTGCTGTGTACAAACTAAAAGAGTAATTCTAAAATCATTTCAATTGCAGATATCATTAAACACACTTGTAAACTGTCTGGGGAATTACTTACTGAAACAGTTAATAATTTTTATATTATTCCGGGGAATTTCGAATAATGTGTCTTACACAGAAAGTTTTTCATAAACTTAAAACAATGAATGTTTTTATTTTACAAAAATGTTTTATTTAACAAAATAAGAGATAAGAAGATATATTGTGCTCTTTCTTTCACTTTTTCACATTTAAACAGAATCTATATATTTCTATCAAATTGATTTAGTGAATTTTAAATATACACCTGAATGATTTAAGATTGGAAATAGAGATATATAACTCAAAGTCACGTTTGCTATTACACATACATACATTTGTACATGAACATGATGAATGTACAATTATCTAGGTAATAGGAAGAAAGGGTTTTATGAACCAGATAGAAAGCATTCATGTACAAATTTTATTTTCATTATTTAACAATAGCATATACATAAAAGCAGAGATAAACTGAATGGGAGTGTGATAAATGGTTTATTTGACTTTGTGTGATAAATCTGGATAATTATAAGTTGAGTTTTACCCTCAGTGAGCCTTGAGGAATGAAACTCATGTACATGCACATTGAAACGACAAGGCAATATTGACACATCTTTTCATCAAATACATTTTAAAGTAAAATACTGGTAACTAATTGGAATTGAAAACTTAAGTTTAATTCCTATAAAAAGTAACAGAACACATCTGGTATGTTAGAAGGAAATAGACATATATACTAATGATTCAATACTATTCTTTGGGTACAAATTTTGATAAATTTCATTAGTAAAGGTGAACAATTGTATTTATGTGCTCAACTGAAAGCAAACTTTTTATAGGTTTGTATGCAAAATTTGTCAAAATTGTGATATCAAATATCCATGAAAGTAGCTTTTATCCTCAAACCACCAGAACAAATAAGTCTGCAGTATCAAGCTTCACAAATGTTACTGTGTTTAAAAATACCACAGAAATTTGATATCCGATGATTAAATATAAACACAACATAAAGGGAATTCTAATCAATTATTTTCTTGTCAAGATTTACAAGTTTATACTTTTCAACATAAGAAAGGGTAAAAGAAACTAAGAGAGTAAGTCGAAAAAAACACACAACAACATGGTTGAATGACAAAGAGGAACAAATAACAATCCACAGAATACCAAACCAAACCATAAAAAATCCTTAGGATTGAGCAACATGAACCCTGCGAAAACCATAGGTTAACTAAAGTGCTTCAGAAGGGTTGGAAGTGCCTGCTCCACTGGTAATTCATATACAAAACTCATTTAAAATCTACTTGATAGAACATTATGGATTCCAGTAAGAACAAAACAAACTTTAACAATCATACCTTGTGGATGGTTGGCATATTGTAAACAACATAATTCCAGCAAGCAATTTATTTTTCGCAATTATTACAAGTAAAAAGAAACATGAATACAGATTGTCTCAAATATGTCAAAGACAAGAAAACTAAAGAAGGAACTCTTGAAAAATACAACATTGAAAAGGGCAAAAAGCTAAAATAAGTTGGATTGAATGATTATACTGTTCTATAATCAGATAATAATATTTTAATAAAACTTTAAATTTTACATTTTACATTGTAATTCCATTTTCAAAGGTTAATGGAAGTTTTTAGCCTGTTACTTGAAATTCTTACTATAAAAGTCAATTCATCTGCAGTTAACATTGAAAATTATAGATATATAAGAAGTTATTGCTTATATTTTATTTATTTATTTGTTGCAGGGAGAGGTAGAGTTACCATATCCAAAACTACATCCAGATTTACCTATTGTGATGTGTGAAGCCATTCGGTGATGAACTTTGAACTTTAGTATTAGGTTAAATCTCAATCTATATGTGTTGTATCAAAATAGCATAGCAAAACTACCACAGGACTACAGTGCCCCTGCACAATGTCCGTCATTTACTGCCATTAAAGTCATTTTTGTGTATTGCTTAGAGTACATTGATCATAGTAATTATGATATTAGTTGCAGGAAAAAAATCATGTAGAAATTTGGTAAAATCAAAATTCATGTTGTAGCTGAAAGAGACGATCACACATGATTTTTAATAGTTCAATATAGTTTTCTATCTAAAAAAATGAGACATGTTCTAACATTTTATAACTTGTCACAGCATATTTAAGGGACCATATATATGAATTTAATATTTTAAACTATTTTTTTGGCCATAATGTTATTTTACAAAGAACTATGAAAGTTAATTTAAGTCTCAATGTACTTTGAAAAAAAGATGATACAAAATGGATTTAAATTTTAGATTGAAAAAAACATAAAGAAAATTATAAATTATTCCTATTATTTATCTACTAGTGTACTTTGGTAAAGAATAGGAATGTGAAAGATGATGTGAGCCAGTATCTTATTTATCACATTTAAGTATGAGCAGTGTTTTCCCTTGTATGCTTGCTATAAGGTCTGGTGAAGAACACTGAGATGTAATATGAATTCACTAGCTATTTTATGTTTCTGTTTCAAATGCTATATCGTGAGTTTAAAATAACAACAAGTAACAACAAAGTTTTTTTTTCATATATTTTTCTTGATAGCACTAATTTTGCAGCTTAAACATCATTCCATAGTTTATAAATCTCCATCATTCCATTTTAAAATTTCTGAAAGCCTTTTAGAACATATACAATTGAAAATCTAAAGTTGTCTCAGGGCAAATACAAATGTTATTATTTGTTTAAAGATTCTCTCGAATTAAAACGTTTTAATTTTAAACTTTAATCAGTTCCTGCTTACCAAAAATGTTAAAAACCAGTAACTAGTTTTCATTTTGTATCAGATGATGTTATAAATAAACCAATCTAACCATATGATAAAAATGATATTTATTGAAAGTCTGTTTAAAAGTTGATTTTGCAACTATTGTGATACCATAATGTATTTGTGATATTTAAGAATTTTGTCGTCATAGCTCTCATCTTTTGTAAATAAACATTGTGTGAATGCATGAATTGTGAATAAGGGAAGTAGTTTGTCATTATATTAATGTACTATCCATGCTGTATTGATGTCTGTTGTGATTATTATACCTCGTTCTGTTTTACGTGTAAAGAGAGCTTTACTATTACTTTGTTAAAATTTGTTACCGTGTAACAAACATGTATAATGTAAGGTCGTAGTGTTGTCAACAGAAACTTGTTTTTGCATTTCTTTGTCAATATTCAATAAGACATCATTATTTGTGCAGCTGAGAGAATTTTTTTTTCAAGGTAATCTTACATGAAAAAGGTTAACTAACTGACATCAATCTTTACTTAAGAATTCAATTCTTCTTTTCATAGCTTTATTTGGTTGTAAAAGCATTCACTGAAGCACATTTGGTATGGAAGTGTTTTATTCCAAATATGTGCAAGAGTTAACACTTTTACAACCCTGTGAAACTTTAAAAAAAAGTATTGAATTGGCCCCGTGGTATCTTCTTTCTTTTATAAGTAAATTTTAATGCTGAAAACAGAAAATTATGAGCTAAATCAAGCCTGTGTATCTTTTTAATTTTGTCAGCAGGAGGACATGAAAGAGGGCATTAAAACAGCATGTGCTTGTTGTCTGCCATTCAAGTTGTCGTAATCTTTATGAAACATCATTGTAATGTAATTTTAATTTATAAGGATGCAAGTGTTTTTTAATACAGATATCTAAATATACTGACTGCCAATATTCTTCAACTGTCTTCTGTAATAAAAAAAATGTTACTGGAATATTTGTAATTATCTTCCTTTTCTTAAAACTCTGCATTTTACCTAGCTTTTATATTTTCTGATTATCTTATCTGACAGTGCCAAAAAGTTGTTTTCTGGAAACTCTTATATTTGCAAGTTTTTCTTTATTTTATCAGATCTCTTTCATGTCAAATGATATGACAATCAAAATACACCATCAATTCACAGCTAATATTTACATTTTCTCAAAGCATTTATTCAGACTTTTGAAAATTTGATCAATAATGGAACCCTGCAACTTTTAATCTGGAGTAAAATGAACACAAAATGTACCTTTTCTTTTTACTTTTGATAACTTTGTGTTAGGATTTAAATATTAATTTGTAAGGACTACACTAAGCAAAAGTTATAGTCCTTTTGTTATAGTTTTCAATGCTGTCAGTTTGAATAATTAGAAATCAATATTGAAGATAGAATTCTGCATTTTTTTTTTATGTTCAGTATGAAAAATTGTTTTTGTCTATTTTTATTTCATTTTTAGAAAAGTCCTTCTTTCAAGTTAATCATTTTGTATTTTTTAAATTATTGACTGTTGATTATCTCCCTTTGTGCAGTTTCCAGTGTGAAGTTGTGACAGAAAGTTGATATCATTTTGTAAAATTAATTCATTATACATGTATTGATTTGTCAAATTCATTTGTATTTCATTTGAATGTTTACTAGTCACAAATTAAATACCTTATACTTACAAATGTATATGATGTGTTAGTTGTGTTTAAAAGTCTCTAGAATTATTTGTAATTTATAGTAAATGTTTGATGCAATTATTTAATACAATTTTTGTAAGTCTTTGTTTTATGTTTAAAATATATAGAATAAGATTTTGTTCTTATATTTCAGAATAAAAATCATGGAAAACTGATTGTTTTGCCTTTGATATGAAGGTGTTCTGTAATTTAGACTCCTTAGAGGAAAAAAAATATCATAAGCCGGAGTGGTTTTTCTTTGTATATTAGGGATAAATTGACTTAGTTTGTCTAAAAAACAATCATAAAATGTAATAAAAGTTAGCTGAAGCTTTTTTTTATGATTAAGAGATGTTTGAAGCAAAATTGGGAATTTTGTTTTCTATTTTTCTGTATTTTACTGATAATTAAGTGTACTTATTTTTTTGCAGTCAACATTATACTTTACACTGACAGCAGCCAGCTTAGACAAGACACAGGATTCTGCAAAACCCTTAAAAAAAAATTACAAAAAGAAAAAGGCATACGCTTACTTTAATTATTCATCTATGTTTAATTGCCTCTCTACAGAAAAAATTTGTATCTTCAAAAGGTTTTTGTACATAAATGGAACTTTTATATTTTTCTCAGCAACTACAAGTCATACTCTCTTGATATAAAATTATTTGATTTTTTTTTCAACAAAAGAGTTGGGTCTTAGTGATACATTAGTCTATAGCATTATGTTGGAGTTGACAAGAGACCATGTTTTTTTATACCTACATCCACTTCCCCATTGAGTGGCTTGGGCAAATATTGGTCATGTCAGTCATTCTGACATCAAACAGTTTTCCAGACTTTTCATAGTTACACCTGTAAATATTGATCTGATTTTTATACGACCGCAAAAATTAAAAATTTTTTGGTCGTATATTGGTATGACGTTGGCGTCGTCGTCGTCGTCGTCGTCGTCCGGCGTCGTCTGGCGTCGTCCGAAGACACATTGGTTTTCGCACTCTAACTTTAGTTTAAGTGAATGGATCTCCATGAAATTTCACCATAAGGTTCAATACCACAAAAGGAAGGTTGGGATTGATTTTGGGGGTTATGGTACCAACAGTTAAGGAATTAGGGGCCAAAAATAAGCATTTTTGTGACTTTCAGACAATAACTTGTGTGTAAGTGTATGGATCTCTCTGACATTGTACCACAAGGTTCCATATCACTAAGGGAAGGCTGTAATTGATTTTGGGGGTAATTGCCTCAAAATTTTAGGAATTAGGGGCCAAAAAAGGGGCAAAAAACAAGCATTTTTCTAGTTTCATGACAATAACTTGTGTGTAAGTGTTTGGATATTTCTGAAATTGTACTACAAGGTTCCATATCACAAAGGGAAAGCTGGAATTGAGTTTGGGGGTAATTGCCCGAAACGTTTAGGAATTGGGGGCCAAAAAGGGGCCAAAAATAAGCATTTTTCTAGTTTCCAGACAATAACTTGTGTTCAAGTGTATGGATCTCTCTGAAATTGTACTGCAAGGTACCATACCACAAAGGGAAGGCTGGGATTGAGTTTGGGGGTGATGAATCATAAGGGGGTTCAAAAAATTTGGGGGGGGGGATTTTTTTTTTTTTTTTTTTTTCTTTTTTTCCTTTTTTTTTTCTTCTAAAATTTTCCATTTTAAGTTGGTTATTTCTGATTAATATTTAAAAGCAAATAATAATGATATGGTAGGAGATACACACCAAACAGGATGTGTAAATTATTATATAATAAGTATTGTGCAATAGCAAGAAATTTTCAATTGCACAGTATTGCACAATAGCAAGAAATCTTCAATTGCACAGTATTGCGCAATAGCAAGAAATCTTCAATTTAACAGTATTGCCCAATAGCAAGAAATATCCAATAGCACAATATTGCGCAATAGCAAGAAATTATCAATTGTACAGTATTGCACAATAGCAAGAAATATTCAATTGCACAGTATTGTGCAAAAGAAGATACTTCGTATAAATTGCTTATTTCTTGATCAATTTCAATGGGGTTTTATTCTTGAATTCTTGGGGTTCTTTAATATGCTGAATCTAACCGTGTATTAAGTTTTTGGATTTTGGGCCCCGTTTTTAAATTGGTCCACATTGAGGTCCAAAGGGTCCAAAATTAAACTTTGTTTGATTTCATCAAAAATTGAATTGTTGGGGTTCTTTGATATGCCGAATCTAACCGTGTATTTAGATTTTTAATTTTGGGTCCCGTTTTTTAAATTTGTCTACATTAAGGTCCAAAGGGTTCAAAATTAAACTTAGTTTGATTTTAACAAAAATTGAATTCTTAGGGTTCTTTGATATGCTGAATCTAAACATGTGTTTAGATTTTTGATTATGGGCCCAGTTTTCAAATTGGTCCAAGTTGGGGTCCAAAATTAAACTTTGTTTGATTTCAACAAAAATTGAATATATGGGGTTCTTTGATATGCTGAATCTAAACATGTATTTAGATTTTAGATTTTTGGCCCAGTTTTCAAGTTGGTCCAAATTGGGGTCCAAAATTAAACTTTGTTTGATTTCAACAAAAATTGAATATATGGGGTTCTTTGATATGCTGAATCTTACCATGTATTTAGATTTTTTATTTGTGGGCCCTCTATCAAATTGGTTCATATTGAGGTCAAAAGGGTCCAAAATTAAACTTTGTTTGATTTCATCAAAAATTGAATTATTGGGGTTCTTTGATATGCCAAATCTAACCGTGTATTTAGATTTTTAATTTTGGGTCCTGTTTTTTAAATTGGTCTACATTAAGGTCCAAAGGGTCCAAAATTAAACTTAGTTTGATTTTAACAAAAATTGAATTTTTAGGGTTCTTTGATATGCTGAATCTAAAAATGTGTTTAGATTTTTGATTATGGGACCAGTTTTCAAGTTGGTCCAAGTTGGGGTCCAAAATTAAACTTTGTTTGATTTCAACAAAAATTGAATATATGGGGTTCTTTGATATGCTGAATCTAAACATGTATGTAGATTTTAGATTTTTGGCCCAGTTTTCAAGATGGTCCAAATTGGGGTCCAAAATAAAACTTTGTTTGATTTCAACAAAAATTGAATATATGGGGTTCTTTGATATGCTGAATCTTACCATGTATTTAGATTTTTTATTTGTGGGCCCGCTATCAAATTGGTTCATATTGAGGTCAAAAGGGTCCAAAATTAAACTTTGTTTGATTTCATCAAAAATTGAATTATTGGGGTTCTTTGATATGCCAAATCTAACTGTGTTTTTAGATTTTTAATTTAGGGTCCTGTTTTTTAAATTTGTCTACATTAAGGTCCAAAGGGTCCAAAATTAAACTTAGTTTGATTTTAACAAAAATTGAATTCTTCGGGTACTTTGATATGCTGAATCTAAACATGTGTTTAGATTTTTGATTATGGGACCAGTTTTTAAGTTTGTCAAAGTTGGGGTCCAAAATTAAACTTTGTTTGATTTCAACAAAAATTGAATATATGGGGTTCTTTGATATGCTGAATCTAACCATGTATTTTGATTTTGGACATTGGACCATAATAGGTAAATTAAAAAAATTGAAGTTCTTAGACCACATTCTTTCTGTGTCAGAAACCTATGCTGTGTCAAATATTTAATCACAATCCAAATTCAGAGCTGTATCAAGCTTGAATGTTGTGTCCATACTTGCCCCAACTGTTCAGGGTTCGACCTCTGCGGTCGTATCAAGCTGCGCCCAGCGAAGCATTTTATTGGTACATAAGTGTACAGCTGACATGGCTAAAAAAAGAACATAGGGGTAAAATACAAGTTTCGTCTATTATCTTGAAAACCTCTATGAATAGAGAAAATTTTACATAAGCAAAAATGATCAGAATGATGAGATTTAACAATTGTCTATTTACATCAAAATTGTCAGATGACTCTTTATAGAAGTAATTGCCATGAAATGACAAATTTTACTAATTTTTTTATTTTTCGTTTTATCTTAAAAATTATAATAGATAGAGAGTAACATTATACGCAAAAAAGATCAGCAAGATAAGATCTACTAATAAGTTAGTTGTTGAACTACTAATAAGTTAGTTGCTGAAATTGTCTTGAAGACTCCTCATTGGGGTTATTGCCATGAAATGACAATTTTTATCATTTTTTTTTTGTTTTTGTCTCGCCTTGACAGAGTCAAAAAGCGAGACATAGGTATGCTGTTTCCAGCGGCGGTGGCGTCAACAATGTATAAGTTTGTGATTAGGTCATGGTCTATTTACTTTGAAACTTTGCTTAGTTTACATGTATTAGTTTGTGATTAGGTCAATTTATGGGGAACCACCATACCTATTTGGTATGCAGTTGTATTAGCATTGGCATATCTCATTACCATGGAGATTATTTGGCCCTGCCCCTCAGTCATGATCTATTGACTGAAACTTTGCTTAGTTTATATGTATTAGCTTGTGATTAGGTCAGTTTGAGGAGAACTGTTAGTGGTATGTCAATGATAATTGGTATGCAGTTGTATAAGCATTAGCACATCTCATTTCCATAGAGAATATTTGGTTCTTACCCCTCAGTCATGGTCTATTGACCATTTTTTTTGTTTTGCTTAGTTTACATGTATTAGTTTGTGATTAGATCAGTTTAAGATGAACTGCTAATGTTAAGTCAATGATATTTGGTATGCAAGTGTATTAGCATTTGCAAGTTTCACATCCATGGAGATTATATAGCCCCACCACGTCATCATGGTTCGTTGATTTCGAAATTTTTACATAGTTTTACAAGTTAAGGTTTGTGGTTAGATTTGTTTAAAGGGAACAACTAATGAAAAGTCAATGGTATTTGGTATGCAGTTTTATTAGCATTGGCACATCTCATTTCCATGGAGATTGTTTAGCCCTGTACCTTCAGTCATTGTTCATTCCATTTGAATATTTGCATAACTTGCATGTTTAAAGTATTGCTATTTTAATTTCAACATTTGCATTATCAAAATAACAAATAGGCGAGACATATCTCTGTGTTAACAGTTTAGTTCATTTTTTTATGCGTTTTTGCCTTATAGTTCTTGCAAACTATAAAAGATAAGACACTTTAAATAGCAAAAATTATAAGCCATACAAGATCTACAAATGAGTCAAATTTTTCAAAAATCGTTAGTAGACTCTTGATAGGATTGATAGCACTGAAAGGA